TCTCCTAAGAACTTCTTGGACATGCTCCTGATGTGAAGCCATGTCTTCCGAGTAGGTAAGGATGTCATCTAGGTAGACTACCACAGAAATGTCCAAGAGGTCGGCAAAGATCGTGTTGACGAATCGCTGGAAGGCTGCAGGTGCATTTGTGAGACTGAATGGCATGACAAGCCACTCATAGGAACCATAGTATGTGTGGAAGGAAGTCTTCCATTCGTCGCCTGCTGCAATGCAAACCAGGTGGTAAGCATGCCGGAGGTCGAGTCTGGTGTAGACTGTGGCATGGCTAGGTGCGTCAAGGAGGTCGGAGATGCAGGGGAGTGGGTAGCGATCCTTTTTGGTGATCTTGTTCAGCCCTCGGAAGTCAACGCAAAGACGGAGGGATCCATCCTTCTTGTGGACGAAGAGGACCGGTGCTGCATGAGCGGAGGTAGCGGGACGAATGAACCCGGAGGCTAGGTGTTCATCTAAGAACACCCAGAGGGCCTCGAGTTCCGAAGTAGAGAGAGAGTACATAGTACCCAAGGGTGGAGAAGTGCCTTCCTCAAGGTCGATCTTCAGGTGGTGCTCACAGTGCGGTGCCAGCGTCGAGGCTTTGCTCTTACTGAACACATCCGCAAACTCATGATACTCCTTCGGAACACCCAAGAGGTCAATGAAATCGGTGTGGGATGAGGCAGCCCTCAAGCGGCTTTCCTCGGAAGGGATGGTTAGGCTGAAGGATACCGATCCTTCAAGTCGACAAGCCTTCACAAATGCGGAATGGCTGACGAACTCGATAGATGGTAATGGAGGAGTGGGAGCCTGTGACTGAGGTGCTGGTGAAACATCAGATGGTTGGATGTCGGACAATGGCAGTGGTGCCAGAGACGATGTTCGGAACGTAATGCTGCTTGAGACCCAGTCAATCAATGGATTGTAGCGGGTAAGCCAGTTGTGTCCTAGGACTAAGGAACATGATCCATCCAGCGATGTGACAAAGAAAGTCATGGGGGTGATGTTTCCGGAAGCGAAGCAGAGGGGAATATCAATGGCATGGGTTATGATTGAGTTGGTGCTCCCGTCAAATAGGTGTAGTTAGGGGTTTAATCTGATATGTCTTCAAGGCGGGCAGTTGGTTGTGTAGTTCTGGGCACTGAGCCATACTTGGTCACCCTCCCAGTATTCGGGGGCTGTCTCATGGCCCTGGTCATAGTAGCGGGCCATCTTGTCTGCTGTGTGCTCCAGTGCTGCCTTTACTTCCTCCTGCATCTTCATCATCCTTGATGAGAAGGCATCGGCAGCCTCTACCTTGGACGTTGTAGGAGAAATAACGGTCACACTATGAAAATCCATTATGGAAATATGCCAGATAAATCACAAAACCTCATACGACAAGTAGATATGAGAAAATAGAAGGACCTGAATTTTAATGAATTTTTACGAATTTTTACGAATTATTATGACTATACGCGATAAATCGAAAGAAAGGAAATTAGCAAAAATATTTCAAGCTTAGCATCAACGAGACGGAATTCTCGGGGGAATTTATAGCAAATATTAAACAAAGAATTAGGACAATCGACCAAGATTTGACTATAAAAACAATCAGAGAACCTCCACGGAAGCTACTTTCCCACGTCCGCACACGTAGCCAAGGATGGAAGTACCACGGAACAAGGATTCCTCAGGAACTAATGCAAAATTCAAAGTCGTGTCTATAATAGGAAATGTAGATGTCCCCCAAACGGACCCAATGAAAGTAATTACAGGGGAAACTACCTATAAACGATGGAGATATGACTAAAACTCCTGCAAAACAAGGACAACGTCTAAAAGGAAAGCGCGAAGATTAACCATTAACGACCGAGACAAGCTTGATAACCCATTAGAAAGGAAGGGATCTAATCTTGATCCTCCCAAATTTTCATAAAAAAAGGATCATGCATTAATGAGATATCCAATAACGGGAATAGCGACATCAAAAGTCCGAGCTCAGGGAAAAGACGATGTTTGCGTAGGATCCATAATTAAAACATACAACAAAATTTACACGGAAATTATAAAAAATGGGGAACTATAATTATGCAAATTTTCAGCCCAAACGGTCCAGTCGTTGTGAAGTTATACCCATGATGGGAATATAGAAATCCGCATCATGTGTAATGACACGTGAGGGTGGCAATGCGCAGGGAACCAGCCATCGGAACCGAGATCCGCACTTCGGCAGATTGCGAAGACCAATTTCCGTCCAAATAAGGAAGAGCCCGGTCAAAACAAAGCATGGAAAGTGCAAAACAACCTTAGATCATGAGGGAAAAATCTGAAATAAATCACAGAAGCCCATATGAAAGAAATAAACACCTGCGCATATCATAAATCCCAAACAATTAAACGGAAATGGCACCCGCATACGAACGTCTATGGGAATGATGCACATGATTACCGAATGTGCATGCGAACTTTTGCTAACTCAACGAATACCAGGAAATAGGACACAACCTTAGTACCATTGGAAAGGTGGGAATAAATGAAAATTTATGATACTAAGAACGTGAGAAAACATTCAGAAATGAATGAGATACAAGGACATGAAGTTAGAAACCTGAAAACGCGCGGGAAGACAGCTTCAAGAGGTCCAGAGTCCTAAATAAAATACATAAAAATATGATATCTTCAAGGACGACCTACTATAACAACGAACAATACATATGGAGGATTAGGATGTGATAATACAAAGGGGAATCAGGGAATATGAACGAAATTCACGAAAACCACTAAACTATGACAGACCATGGCGGGAATTTTAGGGAACAATATTCTAATGAAGTGGAGAGCTATAACACATTCGTTTAAGTAATTCTTAACTACTAGCAACTTTTTCTTTCAGTTTTAAACCTGAATAATTCACTCATTTACCATTTCAGTCTCATTTTAACTAAATATCGCTAAATAAAAATGGAATAAATCAGCTGAAGGTCTCAGCACAGCTGTACGCATAGTAATGCGAAGTTTGAATTCAGAATCATCGAGTCATAGCAAATTTAATGGTATATATAGGGAATTTGAAATAGGTAACTGCGACAAATGCAGCACAGCCAAGTTCTAATTAACCATTAAAATAGCTTAGGCAAGGGAGGACAATAAGGATTCTAGGCGCAGTCTGACTGCAGTAGAACTGCAGTTCAGCGCAGCAAAAGTGCAGTAGAACTATAGCGTGAAAATTTCATTTTCTATTCAGTTTGAGAAAAATACACTGTAAATAAATCCTGTAAATAGAAGGTAGAGCGTGAAAAAGGAAGGCAACCCAAGGATATAAAAGGGAGACCCTTTCTGCGACTTTTCGCCCCCCTTAGAGAAGTAAGAAAATAGAGTATTTTTCTCAAGCATTTCTGGTTGTCACTCCAGCGCGAAAAAGTGATATACAGTTAAGATTGCCACTGTAGTAAAAGGCAGCAATTAAGGAGAGAAATATTAAGTAAATATTTCAACAGGAGAGCTGGTTAACACTCCAGATTTCAAAGTGTAAACACAAAACAGTTATCTTGCTACTGTTAAAACAAGCAATAAAATAAGACAAAAATAAAACAAACCCAAGGGACACTCCAGACACAATCCAAATTCATTAACTGAATAGAATCTTTGAAACTTCACCAAGTAGAAGATTAAATTCAAGTTTAAATCCAAATTAAACAACGCTACTCAGAATTACACCTAGACAAATTAATAAATTTCAATAAAGAAACAGCTCCGCAGGGCTCGGTTTATCTGTAAGTCAATTCCCAGGAACTTTAAAACTAACCCATAAAAATAGAATTAGCCAAAACACTCGGATTGGTACTATATTTACAATAAATAATACTAGTACACTTCCCCATCCTAACTAAAGAACCAGGGAACAGCTTGGTGGTGGTCTCGTTTGAACCTCCCAACTGACCTTCCTTCGTTCTCTCCTTCAACGTGCATGTGGGTTCTGTCCCCATCCTGGGGTGTTGCGTGGTGTCTAGTTCGAAGGGGGTTCAGCAGGTGGAGGAGTGGATGTGGTTGTTGTAGGCAAACTCTGCTAATGGGAGCCAGTCCGCCCAGTTGTCTTGGTGGTGGTTGACAAACACACAGAGGTAGGCCTCAATTTCTTGGTTGACCCACTCTGTCTGTCCATCCATCTGGGGGTGGTAGGGTGTTGAGGGGGTTAGCTTGACTCCCAGGAGGTCCGCAAGTTCTCTTGAGAAGCACGAGATGAAAGCGCTTCCCCTGTCGCTAAGGATCTCCTCAGGGAGCCCATGGTGTTTCCAGATGTGCTCTAAGAAGAGCCGTGCGATACCTGCTGAGTCCACTGACATTACGGTGGGGACTGCATGGATGCGTTTGGATAGGCAGTCCACTACGACCAGGATGGCATTATAGCCCTTTGACTCTGGGAGCTCCCCCACCATGTCCACCGAAATTACCTGCCAGCGATGGGTGGGGACTTTGTTTGGGGTGAGCTTCCCAACCTTCCATGCAGGGAAGGATTTGACATGGTTGCAGGTGTCGCATCTGCATATGTATCGCCCGACATACTCTGCCATCTGGGGCCGCCAGTAGTCACAGGAGACGAGCTCCAGGGTCTTCCATTGCCCCAGGTGCCCCATCGCCCGTGAGTCATGGTGTAGCCGTACCAGATCATGGTGGAGTTGCAGGTCTTTTGAGACGTATACCCTACCCCAGTAGAGGACTAGCTCTCCTTGCTTCTCCCACTTGTCCAACCTCAGCATCCCCTCCTGTCAGGGCACAAGCCCTGGGCCCCCATTACATGTAGTCCCGTTGTAGATTAGTGTCATGTGACAGGTGACGGGTTGAAACCTATCGCTTATCACCCCGTAATACCCACACCTTTGTGACACTTATGGCCTGGTGACCTGAGCGAGCCCCACAGTCCTCACACTTTTTTAAGTGCTTGGGGTGTGATTAAAACTAATCTACACATCCTTTTTACATCTGTTCCGGGGACGGTGCCTGACATGGCACCGTCATACCCCCAAATGGGGAAGCTCGCATCTGCAGCGAGAACAAAGGGTGGCTTTGTTAAAAAGCCGCAATCTCCCAATTTGGGAGATAACCTAAACACTGCATCATTGGATGATGACGAAGACCTGCCACATATTGGTAGGACCTCAGGGACAAACCCTGAGGATCCCAAAAACTTACATGGGGTAAATGCAGGGAACAATACCCTTAGAACCCCATGTGCCAACATGATCTCTCCTAGAAAGAGAGAGTTCTCACCACTGGGTGAGGAGGCAAACATGCACACACATAAGCGCGTGGCTGCCACACTAACAGCCTTAAGGGCTGGGTCAGACATGCCAAAAGAAGTCCCTGAGCCCCACTATCCTCAGGGAACCTCCCACTTGGTGCAAGACACTGACAACAACAACAGTAACTCCTGCTGGCGCAGGTGTCAGGGCACGCCTGCCCGACCCCGCACCGCACCCCGCACTGTACCGCACTACCCTGCTATCACTCCCCGTCTCTCCTCCTCCACTTTCCCCTTCCTCTCTATCTCTATTTCTATTTCTATTCTACGGTCGATTTCCCTTTCTCTGTCAAATCCATACAATCCCGACCTCCGCTCCGGGCTCCCGGAACTCCGAACTCCGACTTCCAGAGCCCTACTTCCCTTCCATCACCTTCTCCTTGCCGACTCCCAAGAGGTTATCCCACCTCCGGCTCAGACACCACCTTCAGTCCGACTCTGGAACATTCTGGGTCCGACCCCAACCTCGACATCTTCCAGATGAGTACGCAAAACCTATGCTCCCGACTCCGGACCTCCACTCCGGAATCCCGTTCGCATCTCTGTCTCCGGAACCTCCAGTCTTAGCTCCGACCTCGGACTTTGACCCCACCTCCGCTTATACCCATTGTATTGGTTAGCTCATTCCATTTAATTATGTTTGCCAATATTCCGGAGTTTAACTTCCGAGTTCGGACTTTCCGGACTTATGTCGGACCTTGCAACTATTGCATTGCTCCATGCAATTCCGCTATTCTCCCTCATTCCTATTTGGGCTGCTGCTTCCTTTCTATTCAGTCAGCTAGCCATTCCCCACTCCCAACCTCCTTCCTTCCTCCTTGGGCCTTGGCCCTTCATTCCTCCTTTGAGAAACACCATTGAGTGAAACCCTTGACCCTCAGTGTTGTTCCTCTTTCCATCTCCCTTTGTCTCCTTTCATCCTACCCTCGCTCCTTTTGATTCCGGACCCCTCCTTATATACAATGTACATAGTAACTTGTAACCTCAGTCCGAAATCGACATGAATTCCCCCCAAGAGACTTTCCCTCTGCTAGATCCGAAATTAGGGACCCCTAGGACAACCAGCAATGGCACAGCGCTCCGCCTGAGTTGCTGAGGCTGAGGTCCTTCCACGCTAAGTCTCCGATTCCATTCCGGAGTCGTCTGAATCCGCCGGTTCTAACATTCTCTATGTACCACTACATACCTAACCCTGCCTCCCTGATTGCCGCATGCGCCACGCACACTCCTGCCTACTGAGCGGCCACCTCTGGGATCTTCTGCGGAGACACCCAGGGAGGTGCGGCTGTGTGCGGAGATGATGTGGCTCCCTCCACATGACCCTAGCCGCATGTATATAATAGTGCCTGGGGTGGGAACAGAAGAAGCAGCCTTCTTCTCAACTTCCCACTTCAGACTAAGTGGTCGGGGACGCTCACCCCGCGATGGGATTGCTGCTACGCACAGCCGCTACTCGTCCCACCGAGTCCCACGCGCAGGGACCTCGCCGCTTTCGGAGCTGTCCCTGACAGCAGGGGGCCGTTTGTGGCCCCAAGCAATGTGGAAAAATTGTCCACATCATCTCGAGTCACCCGCATGACATCCAGCTTGCAAGATTGCAGCAAGCCGGTTCACTCCCAAGTCTATTTGACTGGGAGTTACACAAAACCATCAAACGATAACTCCCACTGGCACAGGGAGCCGTTTTTGATCCCAAAAAATGTGGAAAAATCTTTCACATGTCCAGCATCGTCTCGCATTAAACGAAAGACGACCAGATTGCAATATAGCAGCAATCTGGTTCACTCCCTAGTCTATGCGACTGGAGTTGTCATAAACAACCAAATGACCATTCCTGCTGGCGCAGGGAGCCGTTTGGAGTTCCAAAAATGTGGAAAAATCGTCCACATCTACGGAATCGTCTCGCGTCAGCCGCGAGACGCCCAGCTTGCGATATAGCAGCAAGCCGGTTCACTCCCCAGTCTATGCGACTGGTAGTTGTGCAAATCGATCAAACAACAACTCCTGCCAGCACAGGGAGCCATTTGTGATCGCAAAAAATGTGGAAAAAACTTCCACATTGTCCACATCGTCTCACATTAACTGTGAGACGTCCAGCCCGCAAAATCGCAGCATGCTGGTTCACTCCCCAGTCTATGTGACTGGGAATTGTGCAAAACAATCAAACAACAACTCCCGCTTGTGCAGGGAGCCAGTCCTGAGTGGAGGAAATGTGAAAAAAACTTCCACACCACCAACACCATCTCACAACCACTGTGAGACACTCAGCGCTCTGTCTGAGAACGAGTGTACACACTCCAACATGGATATAAAGGCCATGTCATCCAGATCGACACAGACTCACAGGTTGAGCTCACTTCCGGACTGTCCTCAGATGGCCTCGGACCCAGCGTGGACACAGCAAAGGCACCAGGTGCAGGAGGATGGGGAAGCTCCCCGAAGTCGATTGTCCGAGAAACTTCTGGACTTTTTCCAGGTCCCATCCGAATGGAGGACAGGAAGTGATGAAGAACTCCTTCTCAGGCTAAAGGCCCGAGAAATAATAGGAGAAAAGGTCAAGGGCAGATGCTCAGAGAGCACAGAGGCTCAGGGGAAGCCACTGCTGCCAAGGCCGAACCCAAAACTTTTGCCAAAAAAAGCGAAGTCACCAACTTCGGATGAGGTCACCGAAGTCTGTAGGAGTGCAATGTGGCAGAAGAAGGAGCCTAGTAAGGAGAACCCACAAATGAGCGGGCAACCATCAACACCAGGCCCCATCTTAGGCGATAAATGGCCCTCCTCGGTCACTTCACCCAGGCAAAGGATAAGTGGAAGTAACCTTCCACAAAACCCCTCCAGTAATGCTGGAGAGAACCAAACAAACCCTCATGAAAACTTCACAAGGAAAACTTCCAGCAAAACATTGCTGGAGGATAATGGGCACCTCGAAAGATGGTACCACAAGGCCACACGGATGGCCGAACTTCTAACTTTCACCCCACACATAGACAGGGTGAAGTGGGACTGGTTAAATAACGGTCCTACTCAACTCCCTGACATGAAGTGGTCAGGCGAAAACGATACAGAAATTTTCTGGCAGTGGTACACCACACTGCTAGGATTCCTCACATCACGAGGATATAGAGGTGCACACTACGATGAAATCCATCTGGATTGTCTCATTGGTGGATTGGCAGAGCCTGCACTCTCACACGGACTAAAACTCCATGAAGAAGCCCTCCTTAGAGATAAAGGGGGGAAATTTCTTGAAGTTCTCGATACTCTAATGAGGACATATATCAAGGAGCCCGCCACATTGAAGGTGACGGAAAAATACTGCAATGTAAAGTACAATGCAGGAAAAGGACCCAGACAGTCCTACCCAGAACCATTGCTTAATGCTAGGTTTCTGGAAAACATCCTCCCTGAATGCAAGGAGGAAATAATCAAAATGGGATTCTCCTCTTTCGAGGAGATGTTCAGAACAACATCTCGCATGGACGAGATGAAAAACAGGCTGAGGATAGCTCCAGCCTACAGGCCAGAATGCTATGCCAGACCTAAAACCACCGTGACCGCAAATCGTGAAAAGCCCAACCAGGCGGGAAAGGAGAAACACACAGAGGCAAGAGCCAATGTGCAAGACCCTAAACCCAAATGGAAAGGCGAATCCTCCCTGAAGCAGTCAGGGAACACTGACCAAAGGCTGGTACAAGTACGCAATAATTGTGGAATACCAGAGCGGGCAAAGAGCCACCCTGAGCACTAGTTAGTAGGAGACAGAAACCCAAGGCACAGGATCGCCAGGGAAGTCGACTACAAAACAGAAGGTGAAGTTGGAGATGAGTCCAATGAAGAAGAACCGGAGAATATCTCTGGTGATTTCGAAGTGGAGGACACCTCCAATGACTTTGAACCAGAGGACCCAAACAAGGGACCTCACTACTCGCCCAGAAGAAAGGGTGAGGACATCAGCGTTGGGACCACAATAATGGCCCCAAGATCCGACATCATTGAAAACAATGACGAAAACAATACACTAAAACTGGCGATAAGCCAGACCAAAAAAAGAACTACCCGACTTCCGGACCTCCACCCTCTTCACCTCCGGAGTCATAACCTACCGCTGCCGTTCCGATACTCACCTTCGGTCCTGGCAACACACCCCCTCCTTACCTCTCCAACCCTACCTCCGTCCGCTCCGATACTCATCTCGGACCGAACACCGCCCCTCTCGCCACCCTCTTACTACTCCGCTCCCCCTTCACAACACCTCCACCCTCCTGTCATCCTCCTATGCTTCCCCCATCCGCTCCGATACTCACCTTCAGACCTGACTACTCTCCTTTCCGCCACTCCTTCTCCCTTACCTTTCCCCTCTCTCCTCCCTCTGTTACTCCTCCGCCACCCTTCCGCCAAGTTACGACCTTCCACCGCTGTTCCGTACTTCGCACTCGGACACCGCTCGTACCTTGCTCCAAGCCTCCATCATAGTCCCTACCTCGGACTTTGACTCCACCTCGGTCTTAGTCTATTGCATTGGTGACCTCATACTACGTAAACACCATTGCCAATATCCCTCGGACTTTCAACCCCACCTCCGTAACCTCCGTAAGCTCCACAACCCCGAGCTTCGCGGATCGCCTTCGGCACTCTTGCCGCCTGTAATGTATTTCTCGCGTTTTCCCCTCATCCCTATTTGGACTACTGCTTCTTCCTATTCTAGCCAGTTAGTCATCATCCCCACTTCCCCTCATCCTCCTGCCCCTCTGGGCCTCGCCCTCCCTACCTCCTTTCGGACGTATCACAGGTCCTGTCTTATGGCCTTTGGTACCGCTCCGCTCCTTCTACCCTTTGTTCCCGTTCAGACGTCTTCGTTCTGATTCGGTTACCCTTTGTTCTCCTTGTGCTTTTGCCCCTTCCATTATATATATCAGCGCTTGTACATACTCGTTTTGGTTTAGTCCGAAATTGACCTGAAATGCCCCCTAGAGACTTCCTGCTCACCTACTGTGAAATTAAGGACCAAATGGACAAACAGCAATGGCACAGCGCTCCGCTTGAGTCACTGAGGCCAAGGTCCCTCCACGCTAAGTCTCCGATTCCACTCCGGAGTCGTCTGTTTCCACCCCGTTCTAACAGAGAGAATGAGAGGATGAGACAAAAGGAAAAGGAGGCAGCAGCAGCGTGCCCTGACACAGTGGTGATGATCTGCCTGAGGACAAGCTGCCAGATGACCCCAGTAGCGTGTGTTGGCCCAGTTGACAGACGCTATTGCCACCCTGGCCCGTTCAACCACTGCCACTTGTCAACCCCCAGACCCCAGTCATAGGACGAAGCTTCGTGAGCCTGACCAATTTGACGGTACTGACCCTCAGAAACTCCGTACATTCCTTGTTCAGTGCAAACTTACCTTCCAGAACCGCCCCCAAGCATTTGTTAATGAGCATACGAAAGTCATCTATGCCACATTCTTCCTCAAGGGGATTGCTCTGAGTTGGTTCAAGCCTGAACTCCTCCATGGTAACCTGCATCGCCTATGAACTCTTTGTCTGAGAACTCAATGAGAACTTTGGCCCACATGACCCATTTGGTGATGCTGAACATCATCTGAGTACTCTGACTATGTCAGATAATCACAGGATCACCAAGTATGTCGTCGAGTTTAATCGCAATGCTTCACAGTTACCCAGATACAGTGAGGTTGCCTTGAGGCACCATTTCTATAATGGGTTGCCAGATAGGATCAAGGACGAGATCACTCATTATGGTAAGCCACACTCACTGCATGACATGTGCTCTCTTGCCCAAGATATTGATGGACGATACTGGGAGCACAAGGGTGAGTTGTTGCACCATCCAAGAGATCAAGCTACCTCACCTGACTCCTCCAAGCAGAACGCAAAATCAAGCAAGAACTCAAAGTACTCTAAGTCCTCCAATCCTCCCAACTCCACATCCAACCCTTCCACCTCCGCTGATCACCCTACCAAGGACCCTAAAAAGTCCAAGGGAAAGCAACCCGACTCTGATCCGTCCTTGAAGCTTGACAAGAGTGGCAAGCTCACTAAAGAAGAATGCCAGTGTTGTAAGGGGGCAAGGGATCTACCACCCTAAAGAGAAAGAGAGGGGGCCACAGAGTTGGGAGTCATCAGTTGATGGGTTCGGAGGTGGGTTTTCTGTTAGAACGGGGCGGAAACAGACGACTCCGGAGTGGAATCGGAGACTTAGCGTGGAGGGACCTTGGCCTCAGCGACTCAAGCAGAGTGCTGTGCCATTGCTGTTTGTCCATTTGGTCCTTAATTTCACAGTAGGTGAGCAGGAAGTCTCTAGGGGGCATTTCAGGTCGATTTCGGACTAAACCAAAACGAGTATGTACAAGCGCCGATATATATAATGGAAGGGGCAAAAGCACAAGGAGAACAAAGGGTAACTGAATTGGAACAAAGATGTCCGAACGGGAACAAAGGGTAGAAGGAGTGGAGCGGTACCGAAGGTCATAAGGCAGGACCTGTGATACGTCCGAAAGGAGGTAGGGAGGGCGAGGCCCAGAGGGGCAGGAGGATGAGGGGAAGTGGGGATGATGACTAACTGGCTAGAATAGGAAGAAGCAGTAGTCCAAATAGGGATGAGGGGAAAACGCGAGAAATACATTACAAGCGGCGAGAGTGCTGAAGGCGATCCACGAAGCTCAGGGGTTGCGGAGCTTACGGAGGTTACGGAGGCGGGGTTGAAAGTCCGAGGGATATTGGCAATGGTGTTTACGTAGTATGAGGTCACCAATGCAATGGACTAAGACCAAGGTGGAGTCAAAGTCCGAGGTAGGGACTATGACGGAGGCTCGGAGTAAGGTACGAGTGGTGTCCGAGTGCGAAGTACAGGACAGCGGTGGAAGGTCATAACTTGGCAGAAGGGTGGTGGAGGAGTAACAGAGGGAGGAGAGAGGGGAAAGGTAAGGGAGAAGGAGTGGCGGAAAGGAGAGTAGTCAGGTCCAAAGGTGAGTATCGGAGCGGACGGGGGAAGCATAGGAGGATGACGGGAGGGTGGAGGTGTTGTGAAGGGGGAGCGGAGTAGTAGGAGGGTGGCGAGAGGGTCAGTGTTCGGTCCAAGATGAGTATCGGAGCGGACGGAGATAGGGTTGGAGAGGTAAGGAGGAGGTGTGTTGCCAGGACCGAAGGTGAGTATCGGAACGGCAGCGGTAGGTTATGACTCCGGAGGTGAAGAGGGTGGAGGTCCGGAAGTCGGGTCGGGGTCAGGTATGCACGGATATGACATTTTCCACCGTTACTGTGGGTGGCTTTGGCTCGTCGTGTCAAGAGAGTGTGAGGAGAATTTCGTTTAGTTTCTCGTTTAATCTTTCTTCCACCTTAATGATGTTGCAATCTAAACAAGCAATGTTATTGCTATTCCCAGAGATCTGGGTATTCATGTTATGAACATTTCCCCTCAAGTTGGTGATGTCTTTGTCGACTTGGTTGACACGATTTCTTAATACTCGCACCATTTCAGATGCAAGGGAGTGGGTTGGGGATGGAGGATGCAACATGCGCCTTGGGACATATGCTGCAAGAGTCTCAGCTATGAGGGCTTCAGACGTTGTAACTTGGTCAACGTCTCTCAGATAGATTTGACACATCTGAGACATGTCGCTGGGCCCTTGCAGGCCCAGATCACCACTATCACTTGAGGTGGTGTCGTCCTCCACCCTACAGCCAGTGGAGGGGCCAGCCATGTTGGCAGGAGCGTTAGACATGCTCCTGGTGTTGTATCTCAACATCAAGAGGATGTGTTGAGTTGTTCAACAAGTTTGCATGAGAACTTGATTGAAGTCGCACGTTGTCAGGGGCCAATGATGTGTGCATTGCCAAATGGAGTTTTGGCACCGGTAACATGGTGCCGAGAATGGAAAGGAAAATAGAGCGTAAAAAAGTGAAAGGGTTTCTTACTTGTTTTGGGGATGGTACGTTCCATTCCCCTGTTCGCCTCAGGCCTCAGATGGTCTGTCTAATTATATGCTTTTAGTTGCTGTATATTGACAGGGTAGAAGTAAAGGCTGATCCACCTTTTACAGATACCCCGAGGGTTTATATACATTCTAATGCATTCTCGGCACAAATAAATAGAGAAGCTTCCATGACACTAAATTAGCATTGCAACATAATTATCAGTCAACACAACATCAATTGATGTTGTGGGCAGAATATAGACATGGGCTGGGGCCCCACATACATCCTTCATCAATGGGCGTCACATCTCCACATACCCTGTCATGCCTCTGCAACTCTGATTATTTGACAGTACCATGAACTCCATGATCACCCAAGCTGTGAATCTGCCCATCTGATTTGCCACTGGTGAGGTTACTCCAACAACATGTTATGTCACATCGTTGGATGGTTCTTGCACTATTGTCCTAGGACATGACTGGCTCACCCAACACAATCCATTGATTGACTGGGTCTCAAGCAGTATGACTTTCCAGACGTCTGAGCAATCCAGTCCAACCATCCTGAGCTCTCCTCCCATAGTTGTGGACCCAGTCCCAATGCAAGGGAATCTAACCTCCAACCCACAGTGTGCATCTGTCCATCAGGCAATCACCATTGAGATCATCAGTCCAGCTGTGTTTGCCCAGACTGCCTGACTCGATGGATCTGTCACTTTCTGCCTGGAAAATCTGTCCACTATAGCAGAGTTGCGCTTGACTGTCAGGGTCATGCATGCTCGCAACAAAGGATCCCCCAGAAACCTAATTGATATCAAAGCTGGGGGACATGCCCATCCCAGCACATGGTCATATATACATGGTAGAGGTGGTAACTAGGCAACTAGCTAATAACCGGTAGTATTGGATCAAGAAGGATAGAAGATCATGCAGCATCATAACTGGCAGCCGCAGATCAGATCAGATCAGAGATGAAGAAGAAGAAAAGAAGTAGAAGCTGATGGAGATATGGGTCATGTGGCAATGCGCTACTTATGCTAGCAACCCGAGGTGTGCCCTGACATCGACCTCTATTCTGGCTGATCCTGTCGACCTCTCAACTGTTCCCAAGGCTTATCATGAGTTTGTGGATGTCTTCAGTAAGAGTAAAGCCAATACTCTTGCGCCGCACCATGAATATGACCTGAAGATCGAGTTGGAGGAAGGCACCCATCCTCCCCTTGGCACCCTGTATTCCCTGTCTGTCTGGGCACACCTGCCCGACCCGCCTCCACCCAGGCCCACCTCACCCGGTACCTCCTCTCTCACCCTGCACCCTTCCTTCATATCCCTTCCCCCCTCTATCCCTCTTCCACTTCTATTTCTATTTCACACGGATGACCTTTCCCTTATATCTATGTATTATTGACCCACCTGTGACATGCACACGACATGCCTAGCCCCGGATGCCCTGGACAGCTCTAGGGCGCAACCTAGTGCGCATGCATGCAGCATATGCCCTCGGGATCCCCCATGGGGACACCCGGGTGACTGCAGCTGTATGCGGGGTGACATGGCGAACCTCATGT